CCACACCTTTGTGATTCCTGAACCTGGAGGGGCGCAAAACCAAAATTGAGTGGGTCAGTAAAACAATTCTTTTCCAAATCCAAACATTTCTCAAAACGTTGTAACCCCTCTCCGTAAAACCTGTATACTTTCCCAGAAATGTAAAATATAAATATACATATATATTCTCAATACTTCAATTTATTAACTCAACATTTTTTTCTTTATCAAACATGCCATGCCATGTCTAATTTAACAGTTAAATATGGATGCATCAACAATAATCATATCAGGTGCAAGAAAGTAATCAACCGGAGGCCCTCTAATAGCCCTGTACGGTTGAACCTAGAGCTCAAATTCTATCACTCTCACTCTACCAGAGTCACCTCTGTGACCTGTCCGGCCTTCTGCACACAAGTTACGCTCTAGTGCTTTCTCATCAATCATCTGTGCACATAATCTAAGGTCACCCACCAGTCGAAATCTCACTAATACTCTTCGACTGGCCCGTCGCACCCACTCCGCGTGGACTGTGCGACCAGCATCTACTTGGATCCAAGGCGAGCGTGCGATGCGGTGAATACTATAAGCACTAAACTATGGTGCAGGATTTGAGCTCAATATATATATCAACATCATCATAACAGTATTTAAATGCTCACCTGATACTCACCTGTGCGTCCGCCGCACCAATTCATACATATGCATCATATATCAATTCATATCATTTCATGCATGGCAATTCGATTCACATTTTTCATATAATTCTATATACTTTTCGCATACTTCTATGCATGGCATTTCAACTAATATATCTCATATACTTTTATACATTTTCATTTAAAGCATAATTTCATGCATTTTCAATTTCTGGGAAAACGGCAAGTATATAAGTATACGGAAAACAAAACTGCCCACTCACCTGGAGTTCGCCCTACAACTCCCTAGCACAATACGCCAAGGCGTCATGACGATTGCCGCCTAGAACAGTAATCAAATCCAACCTCAGAATTCATATCGATAGAATATAACTTATATAAAATACGTCACTACGTAGTTCGATCCGGAAGATCCACCACTCAGATTTTAAATCCATAACTTCCAGAGGTCCACATTATACCTCTAGGACAACATCCTAAAATTTCATTACCATCCAACGGTCGGATCTCCGTCAATTTCCAAAACTAAGTGACGGTTAACATTTTATTTTATGAACTTACAACTCCAATTCCGAAAGATCCGTAACTCGGATTCCCAATCCGTAAGTTCCAATAATCCTCAAATATTACGTATTCCAACGTATCAAAGTTTGGTAACGATCCAACGGTCGGATCATCAATTCACATTTTCACCTAATGCGAAAACTATAAAACGTTATTTAAAGCACCTAACCAATAATCGTAATAACTTTCTCATACGGTGCTCAATTTGGGTATATGAATATACCACAGTGATCTACTCGACGTCATGAACGTCGACATATTTTTAAAATAATTTTTTAATTTATCACGCGCCCCCACGCGCCAAGGAAGGCACGGGTCCACGCGCCCCCCACGCGCACCTTCTTCTTCCTTGGGTCGCCGGACTGGTTTTTCCGGCGGCCGTTTTTCAAATTGCCATAACTTTGTCATTTCTCAACGAAATCAAGTGATTCAAAAACGAAAGTTGTAGCCCTTGAAGAGACAAAGAGAATGGTACCTTGCACAACACCTAGTTAACCGTGGTTTGGCCGGAAACTTCCTCGAAAGCCTCGGAGGTCGCCGGAAACTGGGTATTTTTCAAATGAGTATAACTTCTTCAATACTCAACGAAATTGAGTGAAAAAAAAGGAAAGTTGTAGTACTTGACGAGACGAAGAGATTGATACCTACCTCGACTCCTAACTCGCCAGATATTCGCCGGAAAATGCCTCGAAAGCTCCGGCCAAACTTTGAACTTGTTGATCTCCGTGTTCTTACGTCCAAAAACTTCCAACGAAGCACTCCGAGCTTCCTTGGGACCTCACTAAGCTCGCTGTGATCTTTTTTTAGCCTAAATCGTAACCATTTAAAAGATCATGAACAGTACATAAACACGGGACTTTAAAAACTAGGGTTTTCCGAAGCAAAACTTACCTGAAATGGATACCATCGTGATCGTGAAGTCTTCATGGTTCCAATGGTGGTCTTAGATTCGTCGTTGGTATAGATTTAAGGTGGTTTTGTGGCGGTCCGTGTGAGTTCGAAGGAGAGGGAGAGAGAACTGAGAGATTCGTGAGGGAGGAGAGAGAGAGAGACAAGGTACGGGAATTGGGGAAGGTTTTGAGGTGTGGGGATCCCACGTGTCCAACTCAATCCAAATTGTTAAATTTTCATCCCTTAGTCCCGTTTAAGGGCATTTTCGTCTTTTCACGTTCTCGGAATTAAAATTCCGGGACGGGCTGTGACAGTATGCGATTATGGGTATGGTTAATCGTTTATAAACGATTATGGGTATGGATATAACCGTTTAAGCAATTACCCAACGGGTAAACGATTATGCGGATATGAGCATAAATGGTTATGGGTGAATAATCATGATTATCCGCCCGCCATAACCGTTGCCCATCCGTAGTACTAGGGTATGCTTAGTTACAAGCTTAGGTTAGTAGGATTAGTAATATCAAAGAATGATGAGCAAGTCCTTATAAGTATATATGCGAAGTATATACATATATTCTCTTAATTTCCGATGTGGGATAACTGGCTCCCCCGGTTCCCGGTAGTGAAATGCAATGAACCCCAACATTGTAATCATTGTTTGTTTTTTGTATAATTCGAGATTTATATTATTGACACTGTGACATACAGTAAATAAAGATGCTTATCAGTTACCGTGCCATGCATGCAAGCCCTACACCCTCTTTGTCATGGTTTACTTGGCAGGTTGCAGAACGAGCTCTTTTTACTTGTGCCGAGCACATTTCTCAAAAGCAACGCAAAGGAGATATTTTTATTATATTTTTGCCAGGTCGGCAGAAATTCAAAGGTTGGTCAGGTGGGCGTTTAGACCTTACGGCTGGTCTCCAAATTAGACACAATAAATGCAGCAATGCACGGAGCAATTCATGTTAAAACTATTTCTTTGGGATTTAGATTGAAATAATAACAAGAAGAGAAATGGTCGGGTAGTTTCTTAAAAGTAGGATTTTCTATCAAGTCCCTGTTATTATATCTTTAGCATAATGTTGTATAATATCAGTATAAGAATTGATGTTAAATTATGCAGTGTCAAATAATGCATGAAAAATTTCACTTTAAAAGAGTCTTATAAACATTTCTCTAATCACAATCTCCATATACATATCAAAATATAAAACGCAGAGAATGTGCAAGATAATGAATGAATAAAAGTTGTACAAAATAAGGATTATTATTAAGTCTACAAAAGAATCATATTAGATAACAAAAACACAATTGAAACACAGATTAACACAGAAAAATACCATCTAAGCTATCACAATATAGACTAGTAGCAAAAACTATATGTGTAACCATTTAATTAGAAGCACTCTTTAATTACGAAGCGAAGAATAATGTACAAATTAGTGGTATACTATAAGCACAACAAAAATAGAGACTGCAAGTTTTGTTTTTTGGTTGTGGATATCAAAGATCCTCACTACAAGATACATGATATATGAGAGTCACACCTTGTTATTTTATCTGCTTAAATACAATATTGTGAATTTTGTTTATGAGATAGTCATTTCATATAGTTAGGGTGATCCATTGTCAAAATCTCACCAAACATTTTCATTGCATACCTATGTAAAGGTATAATGTCATAATTCCTCAATAATTAAAAACTATATGAGCTATATTATAATATTGTAGGAGTAGTTTCCATTAGAAATTGTTATTAAAACTTAAAAAAATCAAATGTTTAATTATTATAAAAAATAGTGCATCATCATTGATTTTATAATATCAATAACAACGCATTTTTTTTCTTAAACATCCTTATCCAACAACAATAATAAAATTTTATTTTATTAAATAGGATAAGCTGTATGAATTATAAAACGTAATTGCGTTAGGTTTAAAAAGGAATTTGAGATTGTGTTTTATGATAACAAATGTCATTTACCAAGTACAAGGACTTTATTAGATTCCAATATAATGGAGGTGGGGTTTTACATCGTTGATGTCATGTAGCTTGTATGTTCATCCTCCTATAATCTAATTAACTGCAAAACAATTATCAGCTGATTAATTAAACTCTGCTTTCGCCCCCAATTAAAGCAAAGTATTCATGTACTTAATCACCCATCATTCCCCTCCATCTCTACCCTAATTTTCTCTCAAAGCTGCCCACTTTTTGATCCCCACATTACCAAAAGTCTATCACTTGAACCTTCAAATTTCTGTATCGAGCCTCGAGCTCTCTCTCTGTAGCTGTTTCTTGTTTCTGAATCTTTTCTGGGACCTCTCTCTCTCTCTCTCTTTCTCTCTCTCTCTCTCTCTCTCTCTCCCCCCTCTGCCAAACTTCATAGCTTGAAGCTTCTATGCTTAGAACTTTGGCTTTGTATTCAATTTTGGGTAAGTTAGATCTGGGTTAGTTAGCCGACAGAGACGTTCACCATTCATGGAACTCTGAAACTGAAATCTAACTCCCATGGATTTAAATTCGTTTTGACGTTTCTCCTCAATGCCAACGTATCACTGTAAGCATCTATGTTTATAAAAAGTATACATTTTCCCCCTGCCCTTTTAGCAATCGTAGCTCCTCAATTTAAAAGTTCTGTAATTTATGCAATTTTGATCGAAACCCATGTTTTTTATTGCTGAAAATTGTGAACCCCCACCTTTGATGTTATTCATTTGCTGATTAAAATGGCGTTTTGGGTTCGGTAACCGAACCTCCTTGCTCCTCTTTAGCTCTAGAATCTTCAGGATATATGTGGGTTTTGCTTTGAATTTGATAAACCTTTCTGGGTTGTGAGCTGATAGAGTTTTAGGGTTCTAAGCCGAAGTTTAGTTAGAGAGGAACCGTAAACGAGTATGAGGAAGTATGTGAACCATCACTCAGCAAGGGTGATTGGTGATAGGAATTGGGTTATTCCATTCATTACTAGCTTTATCATATTCATTACCCTCTATTTCTCTGCCATTTCCGGGCTATTTACCTCCCCACACGATGGAGAGAATTTGTCATTCGACATTATTCCCTTCGCAAAATCAGATGACACAGGTGGGTATTATGTCGAATCTGATTTGAAAACATCATTGGACACCAACGGGAGTTCCAAAATTGGGGCACCTAGATTTGCGTATCTTATATCGGGCACAAGGGGTGATAGTCATAGGATGATGAGGACTTTAAGCGCGGTGTATCATCCAAGAAATCAATATATCCTGCATTTGGATCTTGAGGCTCCGCCGCGTGAAAGGTTGGAATTAGCAAGTTTAGTGAGGGCTGATCTTACTTTTCGCGAAGTGGAGAATGTGCGTGTTATGTCTCAATCCAATTTGGTGACTTATAAGGGCCCTACGATGATTGCTTGTACTCTGCAAGCCATTTCCATTCTATTAAAGGAGAGCTCAGAGTGGGACTGGTTTATAAACCTCAGTGCATCAGATTATCCTCTCATGACACAAGATGGTATCAGACTTTTCTCTCTGCTTCTTGTTACTTTCTTTGATCATGATCGATGTTGTAGTACGCTTGCATAAAGTTTCCTGCCTCGATAGTTAGAGATATTTAATACATATTTTGTGCATGTGGTAGCAATTCCATTACTTAAATTGAGTTTCTTTTCTTCCATATGGCCCGTTAAAACGTTGCTGGCCACATTCTTCATTTTAAGAACTTTGTTTTTTGCCTGAATTGTGAAGCATTAGTTGTCGTAGTGTGGATTTGTGTAGCTACATTTTCTCCATTATGCTACTTCTAATTATGACGCGGACTTTCTCAGAAAGGGAAAGCGGGGTTCTGTATATGGTGATGGGTTAAAATGAGTCTATTGTTGAGATTGATGGGTTGGGGATTTCAAAAGACAAACTTTTCAACCCTCGTAGTGTGCTAGCAGAGTTAGTGGCTGCTGATGAATCAATATATTCTGTATCTCTTACTATGTCGCAATTGTTGATTGTAATTATTGTTTGTTAATGAACCCTATGTGTATACCTAAGTTTTGCCTGCTAATACACAGTGCTCTATCGGTACGCCATGAATTGACATTTTTCTTCGAATACCTGATGAAGTCTGTTTTCATTGACTGTTCCTGCCTATGATTATGAAATACTCTTATAAAAGCCTGTGTGCTAGAGTCCTACAAGGCAGTTATCATAATTTTTCAAAGATATTAGTTTGGGACATTCATTTCTGATGCCTATCTATCTACCTTTCATTTACGAGAGTTTTTCTGGTTATAGGAGTAAAAACTGCTCCGTCCTGTTGATTTACCAGTGCAATCTCATGAACACTCTTTAATTAAGCTGCACCCAGAACTTTTGGTATTTAGCTTTGTGCCTGTGTGGTACAGTCCAATGTATGTCATGTGACGATTTTCAGTCTGTGTTAATTGATCGGTTTCCTAATGGTGCAGATTTGCTTCATGCTTTCTCCAATCTTTCCAGAAATATCAACTTTATTGAACATATGCAGATCACTGGATGGAAACTGTAAGTAAAGTGCATATAGCCTAACAAGAGAGTATTTCATTTTTGGAGCTAACCATTACATAATCATGGTTAATGCTATAACGCCTTATTTTGCAGGAACCAAAGAGCAAAACCAATCATAATTGATCCAGGCCTGTACTTATCAAAAAAGTCTGACCTTGCACTAACTACTCAGCGCCGATCACTTCCTACATCATTCAAGTTGTTTACAGGTATATATGTATACACATACATATAGAGCACCCTTTATATATGCACACTTTATAACTGTCAGCCCATTTTCATTTATATGAAATTTTTATTGCATTTTTTTGTTTAATAATTATAAAATTACATAGCATAAACATATTTCCAAACTTAATAAGTATTAGAATGGAAATGCTTTTTTCCCGCTCATTTAATTCTGGCCAAGGGGTTTTAATCGTCCTACTTGGGGCTAAATGATCACACTGATAAATTGGATTGGACAAGAACCAGGATTGAAGGTGGGTCTAGTCTGATTTGCTGTGAAAAGAAATCACATGCCAATCAAACGGTATATATATATGTGTGTGTGTGTGTGTGTGTGTGTAATGATCCACCAGAACTATCCGCCTTCCTCAGCCCTGACAAAGGGGGGATATAGAACAAAGATGAAACTTTACATGTCAAATTCTGTTTCTTCTGCAAGTTGTGATTCGCTTGGCTGATTAGAAATAGTCTTTATGACTTCAATTTTCATTTTGGAAATTAGCAGTCGATCTCTATTTAAATAAATAGCTTCCCTCGTTTTGCATTTCTCTTTGTGTGCAGGTTCAGCGTGGGTAATGCTAACGCGATCATTTCTTGAGTATTGTATATGGGGATGGGATAACCTCCCACGCACGATCCTTATGTACTACACAAATTTTGTTTCTTCTCCGGAAGGCTATTTTCATACTGTAATTTGCAACAACGAGGAATATCGCCACACCGCAATAAGTCACGATCTCCACTACATTGCTTGGGACAGACCACCTAAGCAGCATCCCATCTCTTTATCAATGAAGGACTTTGACAAAATGGTAAAGAGCAACGCTCCCTTTGCTCGAAAGTTTGCAAAGGATGACCCAGTGTTGGACAAAATTGATAAAGAGCTTCTAGGTCGCACAAGCCGGTTTGCGCCTGGTGGGTGGTGCATAGGCAGCCCTGAAGGCGGGGCTGACCCATGCTCCGTGCGTGGTAATGATTCAGTGTTTAAGCCAGGTCCTGGTTCGGAGAGGTTCCAAGAGCTGCTTCGTACACTATTATCCGAAGATTTTCAAAGAAAGCAATGTACATGACAGAGCAGAGATAAGAGTTGGAACAAAAGAACCCAAATGTACATTACTGTACCATATATTTACAAGGCTGATGTAAAATGACATTGATTTTTTTTTTTTTTTTGAGAAATAAATAGAAGATGCAAATTCACAATATCCACTTGGCTTTATTGTTCTGCAGATGAAATTAGTTTCATGTATTTTTCAATAATCATATCTGGTGAGTGATCAGTGACCTTGTGCCGCAAGCATCTCGATGTGGTTCCGGACCCGGTCCACTCCAACCGGGTTGGGCTCTAAGAGCATGCAAGCTATCTTTGTTGAGTCCTCACGATGCACAAGGCCTAGTGTTTGCACTGTTGGAAGTCCTCCCCCTCGGGCGTTCACCATCCGTGCAACCAGTTGAGTGGCCGCAACATCCGTGGACAATACGGGAATGCTGTACAAGGCAACCCACGGACGTGCCCGATCATTGAGATTCCTCTTGCCGGGGATACGCTTGTTGGGCCTTCATCGGGCTTTTCTTGGAGAACGTCTGGCATGGGCCATCCTACCCATTGGCTCCCCATGAAATTGGGTTTGTAGTAGCCTATCACGCCTGATTGTGTCTGGTGCCTTGCCTGTAACGTGTGCTGCGGCATACAAATATACTGGTTCTAACGTACAGAATTAAAGATGAGTTTTTCTTACAATCTACGCTAAATTAATATAAACTACGGGAAGAGATTCAAACTCAACATAAAAGTGGTGTTTGAAACCTTAGGACCAACCTTAGAATCTATTGCCAATGTCCACTGCCACTGCCCTAGCAAGCCAAGCAGCTTCATCCATATATGCCCGAGCAAACGGGTGGAAGACAATGTCGTCGACAACCCCCAACTGAGGGCGAGCCACGGAGTGCTGCTCAAGGTTGGTGGCTCCAAATGCTGCTTCAGCCATTTTCATGACAGTATGCTGCAAGGGGCTATATATGGCACTTCCTGTGCTATCATGCATAACATGACACCATTGTATGCTCGGTCCTCAAACTTGTTAATGATGACGGACTTCGGGTCGAGCCTGGCAGCACTTTCAATGGCGTCGAGAACAGCGAGGTTTCGTGATTCAGATATGAAAAGCTTGCAGCACAGTAGCATGGACTGGTCTATGGTTTTCTTCTTCTTGTCCTAGTGTCAATAACAGCATTCATCTCATTCATGATTTTTACTGAGACAGATCTGTACATCGTGTCCTAGAAGATGAAAATGTACCTAAAACGACATTGTACACCATCTAATTTATCAAAAGAGAAGTTTGAAATCAAGTGCAAAGGAACGGACATGCTATCATAGTCACGTCTGCATTATGCAGTAGACTTTATGTCAACTAAAATAGTGGAACATTATCAAGAAATTAAAATGGTCTTAATCACGCTATTATTTAAAGTTAAACAAACATTAAATAAGAAGACCATCTTTACGAGAATCACATCATACATCATGAGTTTGCACTAATCAACTGACAAGTGTACGGCTGTTATTGTTTATCAATTATGAATTCAGTTTTATCTGGTTGATCCTTCTCCAGCAGGCATCAGCCAACAGGAAAGCTTATATTAACAGCTCATAATTTTCCATTTGCAAGAAATCTTATTTGTCTAAAGAACATTACAAATAAAGTAAGCAACCTTAAAATTTAGAACTAGGTTAATTTCAACGGATGGATGGTATGGTCCCAACAAATCTACAAATCACACGTATAATTAGTACAAAATCAGAGATAATCTTTGCATGCAACTGGAGAAACATATATACCTTATATCTATTTCTCTCGTCATGTAACAGTGATCAAGTAACGTAATCATGTGACTTGATGAGAGATAAGGAAGAAAGGATACACTAGTGGTGGGGGAGAAACTGAAGAATCTCCCCCATGAAATTGAAGTGAATGATTTCTACCGCTGAAAAAGAAGAAGTTGTTAGTCTGTTACCTTGCAGCCTTGGCTAAAATCCATTTTCTTCTTTTTCTCCAATGTTTAAACTTTGCAGCTGAAATTATTTTCTGTTTCTGAGACCGGACAGTCTGGGAAGTGCTTTTATATAAAAGCCATGTTCTATGAGTCAGCATTGGTCCGACATCCGTGTAAGCGACTGTCCCTCCATGCTCTATATATAATAAATAAACAACCCACATGGTGAGTGTGATTAAAAGCAGCTTGGCACATAAGCTGCTTTCTGATTCAGCACCTTTTGTATGACTGCAAGTTACTGTAAAAATACAGAAGCAGATGACTTGGAAAGCCGATGATGGTCTCTTGTCACTCTTGTTGCTGACAACACCTAAGCAAGCTCTATTTGTCTTTACCATAAACGTGCGGCGCAAACTACAAAGCCATGCGTGAAAGAAGAAGCATCCAAAATGTTCTACTTTATTATTTCAGTTTTTTTACCAAAATAATTATAAGGGTAAAAGACTATTCTCAAGTTTCGTAATTTTCAACATTTAGTATATCAAGTTTTTTTCGTCTCAGATTCATACCTAAAGTGTAAATTTTGGGACAGTCTCATACATCCGTTAGTCAAACTGTTAAATCTGCCGTTAATTGTGACGTGGCACCCATGTGGACAATGACTAGACGCCACTTATCATCCACGTTTTTTTGTTCCTTCTTCTTCTTCTTATTCTTCTTCTTCCTCCGACTGCAACTTTTTTTTTTCTTCTTCCTCCTTCTCCTTCTTCCTTCTTCTCCTTCTTCCTTCCCCTTCTTCTCCTTCTTCCTTCTTCTTCCTTCTTCCTCCGAATCTGAGGAAGTTTTTTTTTTTTCTTCTTCCTCCTTCTTCCTCCGAATCTGGGGAGGAAGAAGAAGAAAGAAGGAAGAAAAAAAAAAAAAAAAAAAAAAAACCCTTCATCTTCCCTAGTTTCGAAGGAAGAAGAAGAAGAAGAAGAAGGAAAAAGGAGAAGGAGGAAGAAGAAAAAAAGTTGCAGTCGGAGGAAGAAGAAGGAGAAGAAGAAGAAAGAAGAAGAAAAAAAAACCGAATCTGCAACCCAAATTCGGAGGAAGAAGAAGAAGAAGGAGAAGGAGAAGGAAGAAGAAGGAAGAAGGGGAAGGAAGAAGGAGAAAGGAAGAAGGAGGAGGAAGAAAAAAAAAAGTTGCAGTCGGAAGAAGAAATTGTCCACATGAGCACCACGTCACAATTAATGGCAGATTTAACAGCTTGACTAACGGATGTATGAGACTGTCTCAAAATTTACACTTTAGGTATGAATCTGAGACGAAAAAAACTTGATGTACTAAATGTTGAAAACCACGAAACATTATGGTAGTAAACAGTCTTTTACCCTAATTATAAAGTAAAAAATTTGAATTTAGATACAAAAGATGGAGCACATAGTTAAGTAATAAAAGTGTGATTTTGTTGTATAATCCTTTGTATATTTAATGAGTCTTTTGATTTGATTAATATTTCCTTCCGATCAAAAACTGTATTTCTTAAAAAGATTTAATCATTTACCTCTTAATGAAAAATTTAGCGAAGAATATACATTCTTGTGATTTGTATCCAAGAATCAATTAAAACTTGAAAAATTGGATTATAAGATTCTGAAACATAATTTTTGTTTAATTAGACCAATAATTCTAATTGAATGAGTATGAGTAAGGATCCATAGATAAAGATGGAAAGTTGTTTCTTAATCGTAACTAAATCTTTAATTTGGACTTTGTATTATGGAAATTGAAACAAAATGGCTATTAAACAATGACTCTGGTTTACCAGGGACGTTGACAAATTGCTTTAGCTCGGCGGAAACAAAATGTTTTTTTTTAAGATCATCTCCAATCAAAAGGGCTAAACATAGACCGTCTAGAATTATAGCCCTGCAAGAAAAAAAAACTTTTTGAACAAATGATAATAATTATCTACACTAAGGGGGAGGGGAGTAAGCTAAACCTCACAATGGACCTGCAATAAAGTGGTTCAAAATTACCTTTGACGAGAATCGAAACTAAGACCTTCTACTTACAAGTGAAGAGGAATAACACTAGATCGTAGTGTCAGGTCATACTCATATACAATTTTCAACCGAATGGGCTAAACATAGCCCTCTCAATAATTGATTAGTTTTAAGTTTATACTTTAAATTTATTGGTTAATTTAGTTAAATTATCATTTGATGTTTTCAAATCTAACCGTTGAATTTGAATCAATTATTGAAATTGAGGAGCTAAGTATCCAAAAAGAGCTAAGAAGGGGGGGGGGCGCTACATTTAACCAGCCTAATGCCTATTTGGCCAAATAATGGTCTAGTAGGCTTCATACAATTATAGACAAGCCACCGGTTGAAGATGAGTTTTTAGGCAAATCAAGTTATTTTTTGGCTTTTGGATATTTAACCCTCTCCATTGGAGATGACCTAAGGAGTTATACTACAATTAAGCACCAAATACAACTTCTATAATTGTTCTATAAATATATAAGATTAAAGGTGACTCCAGGTCAACAAGGCTTATCACTTTATGAGGGTTGGAGAAGGAATGTCTATCGTACGCAGCCTTACCCTTGTTTTGCAACAAAGTTGTTTCCACGACTAGAAAAACAAATAACATTTTAAATAGATTTCAATAATAACAACAAATATAGGATTTAAATACACACTAAGAACAATGACAAAGTTTCAAGTTAACTGAAGAAACAAAAATTTAAAAAAAGAAAAAGGAAACCAATGTTTGGATATTGAGTTTTTATTTTTATTTTTTATGAGCTAACAATAATATGGTTCAAATTCGTTTTTAACGAGAATCGAACTTCAGACTTGTTACTTACCAATAAAGAAAAATACCACTAGAACATAGTTTTAAATGGCATATTTAAATATTGAGTTGACATCGATGGATGGAGAAACTTCAATCAATGAGTTATGAAGCCTCGTCACGAGCTGGAAGGCAATCTGACAAAGATATGGGTTCGTTTAGGAGTGTTTTTGTAAGTATGAATTAAAAAAGCTTAAGCTAAAAGCGCTTTTATTAGAAGTAATATGTATCATCATTTAGAAACACATTTTGTTTGTACTCGAATCCGTTTTCAAGTAACTTTCTACTTCAATGACGGATTCACCATGCGCAAGTGCCATGGCTTAGAACCGAAGCAAGACCACTCCCTCTGCCGCTCACGCGTTTTGCAATTCTACGAACAAAAGCGATATCAGTAGAGATGACGGGAACATTATAGTTATCAACCCACCGGGTTGCTCCAATCACAATGACACCTTTTCCTTGAGTTACTTGAGGAGGACCCTTGTCTTGTTAGAAATCAAGGATCTGTGAAGAAAACAAAATTCTAGAGAGAGTTTAGACAGAGAGAGAATCTAGAGAGAGACTGAGGTTGTTGAAGAATGAATCTCATTAATTTTACACTCAGTACAAGTTGTATGTTATACATAAATACTCAGTAATGCTGACTAAGCATTCTAATACAACAAACTCTAACAAACCAAAACTTAACAACTAAGCTAAGTATCTAGGTATTAATCTGATACATTGTGTTCATGATTAGTAGATAGTCCTGCAGTATCCTTAACACACCTCCTCAAGCTGAAGGGAGGAGAACAAACTGAAAGCTTGTGACTGAGAGTAGCAAAACGAGATGCAGATAAGGACTTAGTAAAAATATCAGCAATCTGAAGGAAAGTAGGAACATGATGAATGCTGTTATGCCCTTGAAGAACTTTTTCGCGGATGTAATGGTAATCAATCTCGACATGCTTTGTTCGAGCATGAAAAACAGGGTTCTTAGCTAATGCAATAACACTTTGATTATCACAAAAAATCACAGGAGGGCGAAGAAGAGGAAATGAGAAGTCCTGCAAAATTTTACACACCCAAGTGATCTCAGCAGCAGTATGGGCTAAAGATCGATATTCTGCTTCAGTAGACGAACGTGCCACAGTGGTTTGCTTCTTGGCACTCCAAGAGATCAGATTGGGACCCAAGAAAACACAATAGCCACTAGTAGAGCGGCGGTCAACTGGACAACCTGCCCAATCAGCATCAGACCAAGCTGTGAGAAACTGAGTGCCAGGTTTAAACCATAAACCGAAGTCAACAGTACCCTTGAGATAGCGTAAGATCCGCTTGACAGCCTGGAGATGAATGGTACGAGGAGCATGCATGTGTTGGCACACTTGATTCACTGCAAAAGCCAAGTCAGGGCGAGTCCATGTCAAGTACTGAAAAGCACCAACAGTTGATCGATAAAAAGCAGGATCGGAAAGAATGGTGCCAGAATGATCCAACTTGTCGGAACTCACTGGAGTAGAACAAGGTTTGACCAAGCATATCGGTCTTCTTAAGCAAGTCCAAAGCATATTTGGATTGATGAAGAAAAAGACCAGTAGAGGATCGGTGAACCTCAATGCCAAGGAAATAATGAATATCTCCCAAATCTTTGACAGGAAACAAAGATTGCAACTTCGAAATGATGGAGTGGCAGACAGTAGGCGAACTCCCAGTGATGATAATATCATCCACATAAACCAGTATAAAGGTAATAGTAGAGTCTTTCTTGATAAAAAGACTAGTATCAGATGAGGAAGAAATAAATCCCAATGAGAGAATAACACCATAGAATGCTTCATACCAGGCTCGGGGTGCTTGTTTGAGACCATAGAGTGATCTTTGCAGTTTGCAAACGTGATGCGGATGGGCTGGATCAATAAAACCAGGTGGTTGCACCATGTACACAGCCTCTTTGAGGGAACCATGAAGGAAAGCATTACTCATATCCAACTGGTGAATAAACCAATCATAGGTAATGGCAATAGAGAGGAGAAGACGAATTGTAGTAGGTTTAGCTACAGGACTAAAAGTCTCAGAGAAATCAAGGCCTTCTTGTTGATGAAATCCCTTGGCCACAAGTCGAGCTTTGTAGCGCTCTATAGAACCATCAGCTTTATGTTTGAGTTTGAACACCCATTTGCAGCCTACCAAATTATATTGAGGATCAGGAGGAACTAGAACCCAAGTACCAGTGGACTGGAGAGCTTGATACTCAGCCTGCATTGCTGCCAACCAGTTTGCATTCTTAGAAGCTTGTAGGTAGGTGGTTGGAGTAT